TTCTAATTTTTAAAATAAAAATAAAAATATTTTAATTTTTTATAATATTTTATTAAAATAATGTGATTTTAATTATTTAAGAACACAAAAGTAAAATTCTTTGTAAGAAAATGATTAGGAAAAGGTACAATTCAGCCCTTGTACTTGTAATGTTGTTGTAAATCAGCCCTTATATTAGCAATTATGGCAAATCAGCCTTTTACTTCATGATATCCAAAAAATAGCCCTTTTAGTGAAAATGACGTCATCCAGCCGTTAGACCCATCCATTGCTTGTTAAAGTCTGATGAGTTGGTAGTGACTGGGAGCTGATTGGGCACTGATGTGGACCAATTTACTCCACTTGGGTTAGTTGAGATGGTAAGATAATGTTTTGACTAAACTACCCTTACCAGAACAAATAAAATTGGGGATCTAGGGTTTCAATCTCACCCTCGATTACAACTTTCCCTCTATTTGGATTTGCTTTTTGCTTATTTCAATTCCTTCCAGCCTTACTTGATTTCTTTTCCTCTATTTTGATTAAAGTTTAGGGTGATTTAGGCTATAGAGATGTCATCTTCAACCTCGTTCCACCTTGTTTCTTCTCTATCATCAATTGAAGAATGGGGAAACATGGAGATCGCATGTGAAGGAAAGCAGAGGTATTGTGATTGTGGTCTAAAATGTCCTTGTTGGAATGCTTGGACTAAGGGACTTACATTTTCAATGTCGATTTTATATACAAGTAGCTTTTTTTCTCTCCAGGAGCTTGTCCTATAGGCAACCAAGATATGCCTAACAACCAAGGCAAGGGAACAGACGAACAAGGCAATCTCCACGACTCTAACAAACCCTTCTTGATAAACACTTGCGCTGAACACAAACGAAGCTTTTATCAAAATGAAAATTAGAGACAGAACTGAACAAATCATCGCAATCCCCAGGTAAGGCCCTTTTGAGAGCCTCGGTCCATCACAAAGGCTATATACACTTACAATAAACATGAAAGAATAACATAAACCCATCAATCCCCTGCTAAAACAAAGCAATTCAATGAATACCTAGATGAATTTCATACTTAAATGTCATACTTACAAAGTATAACAGTTGATCTTATAATGAGGTGAAAGGTATATCGATGGGGGAATATTAAAAATCGTAATTATTAAAATGAAAGGAGAGCATTCCCAGGGAAAGGGACAAAGGAGAAAGAGAAGTAGAAAGCAAACCAGAAGTTAAAAGGGTATCGACAATAATGAGAAGGAAAGGGGCCTGAGAACAAGAGAAATGAAATGACCATGGTGATCAAGAAAAACAAAGTCTTTAAGGCTCACCATACTTTTCTCAATTTCTCATCTTTCATAAAACCCATGTCTTTTTGTTTTGATTCAAAGAGTCTTGAGTTCTGAAAATGGCTTAAAAAGGGTAGGAAGAGTCTTGAGCGTGCATGGAGGTTTGATGTTTTGATTGGACTTGGGTGCTGAGGCAAGTGATGACGGAGATGGGTCCACATCAACACCCAATTAGCTCCCAGTTAGCACTAACTCATCAAGCTTTAATGGGCAATGGATGGGTCTAATGGCTAGATGACATCGTTTTCACTAAAGAGCTGTTTTGCGGATATCATGAAGTAGAGGAGCTGATTTGCCATAGTTTCTAGTACAGGGGCTGATCTGCCACAACATTGCAGGTACAAGGGCTGAATTGCAACTTCTGCCAAATGATTATTAAACCAAACAGCCCTTGCGGGGAAAAGAAAAGGTCAGTAAGTATATTCGCCTATTAAGTGGGCAGCGACCTGCCCGTCTTTCTTCGGGCAGCCTAATTCCCCTTTTCTAGTCTTCGATTCGATTTATATACGCACATCAAATTACCGGAAAAAAAAAATTGATAAATGATAATAGTAAGACTGGGAATAATAGAGTGATATTTCTCACTTTCCAATTTTCCATTTTTCATTTTCGTTTGCTCTTGTCAGCCTGCGAGATTCTCAGTTTTTCGAGATTTAAGTCTCCTATTTGAGCACACATTTGCTTGCTTTAACATGAGATTTTGATTTCATATAAGAAAGAGTAAGACTTTCCTCCTTTGAAGCATTCAGAGCTTGATCAACACTGTTTACAATTTAGTTTTTTTTTTTTTTTTTTAAATTATATGTGTTTGTGTGTGTGTGTGTGTTGGTCTATTTCTATTTTCTGTTGTTTGTCTGGGTTTACATTATTAGTATATTGCCTTCTGCTAAGATTTCTTTTATGCTGAGAAGAAGAGTTTGAGGAAAAACCAAGAAGAGGTGATGTGATGGAGGATAGTGGTTTGTTGTTTGGATTTTGGAATGACTGGAGAGTTATTGAATGATTAGTATTGGTCCAGCATGCTGTGCATTGAAATGGCAGCTTGGGGAGCTAATTTTCTATTAGGGTCTCAGGTGGTGAGTTATTTCAGGAGTGGTGCCACCATACTTTTTATCATACTCCATATTTTAAGTTTCATAGTATTGCTTGCTGCGGGTGTTTGGTCAAAATTTTGCCATGGCTCAATCAAGGTGTGGCACTTCAAAAGTGTCTGGAAATCCTTTTATATGAAAGTTTATGCATATGACCCTCAATTATGCAGCTCTTCATCCACATTACTAGGGTTTCATTTTTCTTCTTCTCAACTAAGACATCTGGGTTTGAGCAACTAACTGTTTAAAGAGAGTTGTCCTTTGCCATTTTGGCACTAGATTAACAATATCCATATTGTCTAACAAGGTCCCCAAATGGACCAATGTAGTTATCCATGTTCAACAAATAATAGTTTATTTGATTATTATTTTTTCTTTTATTTTTTTGTTTTGTTTTCTATATGGAAATCTGTTTCTAACTTAGACAAATGATTTGAAGACACAAACTATGAAATATGAATATCATAGGTCATTTGGTCTAACTAACTATGAATTGAGCATTTACTGTTTAGAGGTTTCATATAGATTTTTTTCCTTTTCAAAAAATAAGTGCGCACATTTGCATTATATCTTTTATGTGAGTGCATATGCCTATTCCTGTTTTTGTGATTGATCTCTGTCAACTGCTATGTTTACTTGGGATTGAGGCCTAATTTGGTGGCCTTGGGTCTACAATCTCAAAGTTCTCTTTAAACATGACTTATTTAAAATTTTACCTTTCAGGAAAGGTGAAGAGCATTCTTTTATTTTAAAACCTGCTTCTTCCATGTGGAGAGACCTTAAAATCATTGGAGAAAGAAGGTCTAAACTATCTAATTTAAGTCTTCCTTCCAAGACTTTCGAAAGGAAGGGGAGTGCTCTGATAGCAGATCACTATGCAATTCTGGTATCATGTCGGTGCAACTATACTGGTATCAATATTTCTCTTAGTCTTAAAATATCTGTTGAAATATTTTAATGAAGTTGATTGTTTGTTCTAACTATTTCTATTTCATTTTCAATGTTAATGCAGAGTCAAGATTGTTTTTCAAGCATCAAACTAGCTGGAGACCACGTATATCAAGGGACCTTATGATCTCTGTTGCATCTGAAATGTCAGGGCAGTCTTCTGGACCTAATGAAAGACTAACTCAGTTTCCAGTTCAGGTTTGATATAAATTTTCAGGAAAATCCCACATTGGAAAAATAACAAAGAATGTGAGTTAAATATGAGGGCTATTCCACCTATTGCCATCTTGGTTTTAGGTTGGATGCAAGCCTTGTGTTGAAGCTCAGATGTCCAATTTACACACACACTCTCTTTCTCTCTCGGTTGGTTTTCAACTAACTAGGATAAATTGTCAGGTCTTAACCCTCCAGGCTTCAAATTTGACATCTGAGGATTTAACCATGACAGTTCTTGCTCCAGCCTCCTTTACCTCACCTCCTTCAGTGGTTTCCCTGAGTTCTTCTCCAACATCACCAATGAGCCCATTTGTTGGTTTTACCGAGTTTACGGGCAGAGCAAGTAGCAAGAGGCATGGTACTTCAGTGGAGAAGCCAAGCTTGGTGTCTGTTGTACAAGATCACCAGAAACAGAATGATGATGGAGTTAGGTCCATTTCCTTAAACAAGCAATCTATTTCGACTCCTGATGTCATTCCATCTTCTGGGTTTGGCTGTACGCATCTCTGGCTGCAAAGTAGAGTACCATTAGGGTAATGTATCAACTTTTTCCTATTTCTTTAGGGTGAATTACACATTCTCTCTCATCTCTCCCCATCTTTAAAGTATTATACTGCCACCTAGAAAAGCAATCCCAGGATCATTTTTAAACTTTATTGCATGGAATTATTTTCTCAGGGGCTAAATGTATTTTATTGTAAAAGCTAGTGCAAAGTGCGTTTAGACCAAACCTCTCAGGGGAAGAA